TTCAGTTCGGCACGTGTTTAAAACGGCGTTTGCCGTAAAGTCGCTCCAGAGTCGTAATGTCCGACTTGGCTTGTCGAACTTATGCTGGACTCGAACCTATTCAATAGGGTCGCTCTCAATTACAGCAAACGTCGTACTAGGCATGAACCTATTTCAAATGTAATAGGTTCGACTAAATTAAGCTCATGGTTAGTTCGACTTTTGCCCTGGGCCTAAGTGACCTAAATCAAGAACAATTACACCAGAAGTGTTCATAAGGAAAAAATGTATGTATGACTTTTTTTCATATCTTTTTTCATATTCTTTTTTTTAAATATTTGTATAGACATATATACATATATTTTATATATAGTTTCTTCTATATTTATATCCCTTTTAATTTTTTTTTTAAATTATGCTTTCCGAGAATATGAATACTCGGGATTCAGAATAATATCCGATTCAAAACTCGAATTTTGATTGGATTATTCCATATAAGGAACAACATAATCCATCATTCTCAGAAATAATTAAATATTCGAATAATGAAACCATAAATAATATAAACTAATTACGAAGAGATAACTAGCTAAAAACTAGTGTGAGCTGCGTCGGTGTTTCTAATGAGCAGTAATGATAAAAGGGTAGATTTTACACCGTGAAAGATGAAAAAACGTACTGACGTTTAGGACGCAATATAAACTAAGTAATATAAACTAATTACGATTTTTAGACGACAATACCACCAAATATAGGTAGGCGTACTGTTTACATTTCCAAAAATCAACTTTTGAGCCATAAACGATCGGACTTAAGAAATATAAAGAAGTCATAACTGTTGATAATATTTATCAATTTGAGAGCAGTTGCTTCATTAGTTCAGGAGATATAATAAATTAAAGTTGCTAAATTTTGCAGTAAATTTGTGTTGGTTGGCAACATCTTGCCAATGTTAACTTGAAAACCTTCAAGAGATTTGTCCTCAAATTCTCAGATATCTTCCAAAGCGATAGGATCTTGCCACTTTTGACGTTTGTTTGTTTATTGCTTGAATTTTTTTCCCCAAGAATTTCATGTTCTTGATCAAAAAAAATTACGTCATCGTACGCCCACCTACCGACGGCTAGYTGAGAGACAATATATTCAGTATTGGGCGGATTCGCGAAGAGACCTTAATTTTAAAACGACAATACCACAAAATATTGTCGTATCAAATAAATAAGAAACTATTTAGTGAATCGCGATACCACAGCATATTGTCGTCTCAAAAATATAAGAGACTATTTAGTGAATCGCGATACATAAATGTAGCGTGAGAGTGGTGAATACAGACGCGAAGCCAACCTTGTAATTGTCAAGAGTCAGTTGTTGTACTGTCGATATTTCCTYGATTTTCTCGCTGAAATATTACACTTCATCCAGATTACCCATCTAGTAACTGAGGTAAGTGGATTGTAATAAGCTTAAGTTTAAGAAAAGTAAAGTTATCTTGAAGTTTATAAATATCGAAGCTGGAAATTATAGAAAGAGACCAAGAAATGCTTCAAACATGAGTAATTACGAAGCTCTTGACAAACAACTTATTCGCCACAAATACAAGCATTCTAGATATCACAGTTATAATAGATTGTAGTACAGATTGTAGCACTTTAATACAGCTAATATTCACCGCAGAGTCTACCAGAAAATGACGAAATTATCATGATTTTACACCAGTTTCAGTTTCAGTTTCACTTTCAGTTTAATATTGCCAATATAGTAAACTAGCTTTTGCATAATGCAAATGAAATGCTGCGAGTATGTATAAGATAATATCAAAAATGTTTATGGTATGTAATATCATTTTCCTCTGATCTCTTCTTTTGTGACATTTATTTTCTTTTTCGATTCATGTGAAAGAGATCATAAATATTCCTCTAATTTTGAGATAACAGCAAATTTGATAACAGCAACGGTACCATTTGGATCAGGCATACCATTACAATTAAATGTATGAGAATCAAACACATATATGCAATCTGTGGTCTTCATTAAAGCCATGATGTAGCTTTCTAATATTATAAATGCGAAATCATTGTTACTAAAAGCATTCATCGAAGCTGAACGTTAAGTGAAGTATGGAGGCTGCTTTTCAGACACGTCACGCGCGGTTCTTCCTTGATAAGATTGGTTGTATTTTATCAAACAACGGGGGTTGTCATTTGTTTGGATTTGTGCCTCACTGGGCTCTACCACAATAGGTAGATCAGTATTTGTCACCATAATAGGTAATTGTTTATTTTTTGCCTCAGTGGGCAATCGGTGTGATATATTACGTGCGTCAATGGCCGACTGTTTTGTTTCGTTTGCCTCAATGGGTGAGGACCTGTCAGCGAGCTCTGTCAGGTAGAAAGTTGAGTGACAACCTCTCGGTATCTGGGATGGTTTTTCTTTTAAGTGCACTCAAGTACATGGTGTCTCCTTCCGTAAGGATCTGATCTACAGTGGCGGCAGTCCAATGTTCGATTGGCATAGTYTGAGCACATAACAGCGCAGAAAAACTCATGAAAGGACATTGTCTTCCCCGTGAAATGTCACTAAATCGTTCATGACCTTGATGAATGCTTCCAGCAATAAATAAGTTTGTGTTTGACATAATTAGAGTACGAAATAGAAGGCTAATTTTATCTTTAAGAAGCGAACCTGGATAAACAGCAAATCGAGCAGCGTGATTCCAGATAACACAAATTCATGATAAAAACGGCCGAACAAACATAATGGATGCGCCAAAAATCATCTCGACAACCACAAATCGAGATTCTTTCTGGCATATAGCACATAGGGATCCCAATTGTAAAGATTACTCTTGCTGCTCGCCTGATGGCTCGCAGCAACTAATCTAAGCACAGATGATCACTTGAGAATCCCTGTCCTTCGTCTGAATCTAACAACTGCCTTTTACGCAATTACGGACCTTACTTGTATCCGAGATTAAGTGTTGGTAGTAGATTTGGCGGCTAAAACTGCCTGCCTAATAGCGTGTTCAAAAACGATCGTTCAAAAACCATCCTAAGTGATCTAAATCAAGAACAAATACGCCAGAAGTGTTCATAAGGAAAAAAATCTCTATTTCCTATATAGTTTTGAAGAAGAGCTATCTGTGAATTTGGAGCAAAAATTAGCTCAATAGGAATAAACCGAGTTTAAAAAATCGCCACTGGAAGCCCAACCACATTGATGTTAGATATAGAGAGAATAAGAGAAAAATATCAAATGCCC